CGTGTTGTCTACATAGGGTCCAGAAAGAACTTCCCCTGGCATCTACTGTACCCCCTTAAATCTGGAAAAATAATAATCTCTTCTGCGTGGTTCCAACACTCAGCCAGTGCGTATTGGCTTTGATTTGTCTGATCCATTTTGTTTTTTTGTTGTTGAAAAGTTTTGAAGGCAGCTCTGTTTTTGTAGCTCTCAGGAGTGTGGAAAATGGTTCTGGAGCCTAGGGGAGTGACAAAGACAGTATCTGTCTGTGACGCAGTACATCATAAATTTCTCCCTAAACCTCAGCCAAATTAAATAAGTATGTTTCCCTTTCTCTAAGAAATGCAGCCATCGCCAATGAGGAAGTGCTTTGATATCAACATCATACTGGCACTCTGTAACAAATTAGTACTGTGGGGGTATTCTGCCACGTCATCCCAGAGGTGTATATTAACATCAAAGACATTGCAAACCATGAGACACTACAGTAAATATACCTTTATACAGTACTGAGAGACATCTAAGTGCAACAAATGCTATTGATTCCAATAAATGGCTTTAGGAAGTCCAGAACAAGGTACCCTGCCAATTTGTTGAAGCTGATACCCTGGTTTCTTTCTAGTGAGAGTGATGGTTTTGATGCACTTTTTTTCTAACATAACATCACTTTATTGGCCCTATACAATTTCTTGCATTAGTAATTCGTCTTTTCGCATGCTCCAGCTTGCTCTCCATGAGGCACAGACACACAGAAAGGGAGAGAAGCTGGGGGTCAGAGCGCAGGGTGAGCCTTTAATACGCCGCCCCCGGAGCAGCTGGGGTTAAGTGCCTTGCTCAGGGGCCCAACGGAGTAGGATTCCTCTGCCAGCTGCAGGATTTGAACTGGCAACCTCCCAGTCACAGGCGCAGATCCTGAGCCACAGAGCCACCGCTCAGCCCCTTGTGTTTCACTAGTTCATTTTCCCAGAAACCGTGTGGGACTGGATGTGTCTTCTGAGGTTTTGAGTTTTTTTTTGAAGACATCTCAGATAAAACACCTACGAGGCTGTGAGAATGATGGAGGGAAGAGATTCTGATTCGAACAGTATTCATTGCTAAGAGCACAGGAAGGCCAGGGTTAGGGTCTCTGTTGCCGCATTGAAGTCATATCAGTACCTTGTCTGGAAGAAAATAAAGCTGAGTTCACAGGAGAAAAAGCTGTATAAAAAGATTCTATGAAAAAAAGCTGCCTGTATGGTGAAGATCATGAAAAACACAAAAACACGTATTCCCTTTCCTGTTCGTGGGATCTCAGTGACGTTATTTGCTTGAAAAAGAGCTTTGTTTGTAAATGGAAATCGGTGCCAGCAGCTAATTGTTGTCTCCTGTTTTTTTTTTTAATAAGTTTCCCAATCAGTTTCTGAGAGGAACAGATGTTCCCCCAGCTGTATGTTCTTTGGATGCATTGGATTGTTTTAGAATTAGCGAAAACAGCAGAAGAATCATCCAGCTTCACGCCGCTAAGAGGTCAGGTGGTGCAGTCGTGGGCTGGGTAGCAGTACAACCCCGACAGCTTCTGGGTCTTGGGTTCAATTCCAGCCTCAGGTACCTTCTGCGTGGAAGAATAGCTTATTAATTACTGAAAATGCAACCTTCCCTTTCAGCAGGTTTCACCAAGCTAAGAATCATCCAGTACGACATGGACAGAAGTGCTTGGCTGTTTGCTGTGGTGTTTATTGTTGAATTCACCAGGGTAACCCCCTCTGACAGTAAGTGTATTTTTAATTGCATTTCCTGTTGTAGCTATAGAAGTGAATGTAGCTGAAAGTACCTCACCTTGAGTGACAACTGAAAGAAGATGGATTTGTGCTTGAGGACCATTCTTTCTTCTGCACTGTACACCTTCTCATTGTGCTGTGCCTCTTGGAACTGTTTGAACACAGTAAACACACTCGTACAGTGCATTAACCTAACACTTCTCAAATCAAAATCTTCTTATTTTAATTCCACAGAGCTTGTAAGTATGCACTGCCAGTCCGAACACCATGGGAAATTTGGCCAGGACACAAAGCTCAGTTGTATCGTGAACAGCACCTCTTCAGAAGTCAAAATTGCCAAATTACTTTGGAAGAAGGAATCTCAAGGTTCGGTGTTAACTTATGATTATGGCAAAAAGAAGGCAGAAGATCCTCGTTTTGAGCTAGCCCACCAAAGTTGGGGTCCAAACAATTTGGATGTCTCTTTGTTGGTGAGAAACACAAAGATATCAGATCAAGGAGCTTACTCCTGTGTGGTTGTGACAGACCGGGGTTTCTGTAATGGTGTGACCACACTGCAAGTCACAGGTAAGTTTCAGTGGCCTTAAACTCAAAAGGAGTTGTACTGAAAACAGTTAGCGTATGAGTGATATCTGAACTGTGAACACTATAAAAAAGCATTCCTAGTGTATTTTAAAAGGCTTTTTGTATTTAAAAAAAATACAAAAAAAAATTAGACTAAAAGATATGTCCTTCCTGGAGAATCATCCAGCTAAATGTTTAATCCCTGAAGTAGAAGGAAACAAAATGATACTTGTTAGGACTCTTCAAAGCTCATTACTTCCAAACTCTTCCTGTGCCCTCCAGGTCTGTGTTGTCCTGGTAGGCAGTGATCTCTCAGCCTCAAGACTGGCCTGAGTAGAGCAACAGCTCTCAGGCACAATCTCTTCTAGTTTACTCTTGTCTCTGGAGAGACTGAGATCTCTAGATGACATCTGCGATGAAGATGTGTGCTTGTGTTTGAGTTACTAGAGGAAACATTTCAGCCGGAACACAAGCGCTGACTTTGGTTTTTCCCTTTCCATGACAGCTGCATACGCCCAGCCCGTCATGAGCTCCATACCAGCAGAAAACATTCAGGAAGACAGCACAGTGGAGATTTTCTGCAACACGAGTGGGGGTTACCCTGAGGGAAGAATCATGTGGCATGACCAGTATGGCACAGACTGGACACGGAGTGCGCAGACGAAGGCAGTGCTGACCGAAGACGGGCGCTACAATTTGACTAGCAAATACACAGTGCTCAAGTCATCCTCCAGCTCTCTTGAATACAGTTGTTCAGTACATAATAGTCAACAAGTCAAAGAGGGAACACAGGTCCATCATCTGATGTTTGGTAAGTTCACATGCATGTCTTTATCTCTTGATCGTTTCGACTCTAATGCTTCCATTATTTTGCTTTTTTTTTGCCTTTCTGATCAGAATGCAGCATGACTTGACCTGGTGGCACTCACATTGTGCAATAATGTGTTCATGTGGAGCCACAGACAGATTTACTGTATTTGGCTTTCAGGTCTCAGATGGGGCTTTTGCGACCTTGAGAAAGATACTGACAGGCTGCTCCGGTACAATACCCAGCTGTGTAGATGAATGCTCTCCAGGTCTTCATTCTCTGTCCAAGTCAAAGTTTTTGATGTACTTAAAATGCAGGGTCAATTTAAAAGCTCCATTTAAAAGCATTTTCTTTTCTGAAGTCTTAATAATAAAACAGATCTAGGAGGGAATCTGCTTTTCCAAGATGTGTACAGTTTGGATCCTGGTATTTAAATAGCCCTTATATCAACGCAAAGAACATAAGGTATTCTGTAGGCTTGGAGCCCTGGCACAGTTGCAGTATTCAGTGGTGCCAGTTTTTGAGAGGAGGCCTGAATGTCTGATAAGATGTGTAATACAGCCGTAATGACCTTTTTGTGGTGTGGTGACCCCGTGGCCTAATGGATAAGGCATCAGCCTCTGGAGGTAGGGATTGTGGGTTTGAGTCCCATCTGGGTTGTGTGTGATTACATGTAGTGGGTGGAGAGGTGACACTGTGGCTAAGGATCTGTGCCTGTGGCTGGAAGGTTGCTGGTTCAAACAGAGGAATCTTACTCTGTTGGGCCCCTGAGCAAGGCCCTTAACCCCAACTGCACCAGGGGCACTGAATAAATGGCTGACCCTGCGCTCTGACCCCAAGCTTCTCTATCCCCATCTGTGTGCCTGGGTGTCTCATGGAGAGGAAGCTGGGGTATGTGAAAAAAGACAAACTCCTAATGCAAGAAATTGTATATAGTACGTATAAAGTGATTTTATCTTATCTTTGTAACCCGATGGCGCACACTGTAATTCTGTATGAGCAAGGAGCAGGTATTGAACAGCAGGGGTACAGCTGTGCCCTGTACTGAAAGCAGTTCACACCTGGACCGTGACCTTTGTGCACTGGGGTCCCCTTCACAGCTGTGTGCATTTTTAACTTCCAACCCACAGGCAGTGGCAGATCGTGTGTTGACGTGTAGCGATCTTATTTCCGATCGCCCGGTGTTTGCCGTGCATGTGTACGTTACTGAGGTATGAAATGTTGGTGGAGGTGCAGTGTGTAAGCGCTCCGATGTTTCTCCCAGGTCCTAATAAGATGGAAGGCCCCAGTAACTCCACTGCAGTGGCAGCTGTGTTCGTTGTGGTGGGAGCTCTGGCCGCTGGCATTTTGGTTTTGTTCCTGTTTCGCCGAAGGAGGAACTCCGGAGGTGAGCCGTGCTTTCCTGTGCGGAGCTGGGAGGGGGACTGTGGAGAGCATGCAGTCACTCGCCGGAGCCAGGGTGGGGGTGGGCAGGCAGGCCTTTGTTCAGGCACGTCGAGGGCTGGCATGGCAGGCGAGAAGGGGAAATGACGCAGTCTCTCGGGGGTCTTTAAGGTGGAACGGAGCAGAACTGCTCATGCACGCACCGTGACTGTGCTTGAGGGCCATGTTTGGTCTATCAACGGACTGAAGAATCACTTGGGCGAGACTGCGCGATGGAAAAGTTTAGCAAGCATCTGCGTATCATACTGTGTATACCACACACACAGATTTGCACCCTGCATCCTGTTCGCAAGCAGAAGCTTTTAAAACAAAACCCTTTGGGTTGTCACAATTTTATTGTGGTGTGCTCAAAAGAAGAGAGAGAAAAAAAGAGAAAGAAAAGCATCAGTAACATACATATATCAAACACAAAATTCAATACCATGCTACATTACAGTGAGGATAGATATCCGCCAAATGACCAACACATTCTTCTCTAACAGCGTGAAGTTATAAGCCGGAATAGCTTTAGGATGCAACAATCCTGCTACCCAGAACCCACCTGCTGGCTGGGGAGCTGTGGGCCGCTCACTGATAGAGGCCGCAGCGCAGCAATGTGTGCAGACAGGGGTTCGAGGTCAGCGGTAGAAAGAAGAGCAGCCCATAGTGATCTTTTCTGACTATCTCCGTTCTGCAGAATAACATGCCTACACTTAAGTGCTCACCTTCACCAATAATGATGATAGCCTCAAAGATCCTGGGATCGATTCTGGCCTCTGGTGTCTGTCTGTGTGGAGACTCGGGGGAATCTCTGAGTTTGCATGGGTTTCTGCTGGGTGCTCCCATTAAAGATGGGTTGTTGTCCTTTTCTGTGTGTTGAGGGGAGCGGGGGTTCAGGGGGATTTCATCCTTGTTCCCACTACTGATCCCATTACAAAAAATAGTGTATTAGCTGTGGGGCTATAGAGAACTTGAGTTGGATGGCTTCCTCTGATGTTCTGCTTCTTGTGAAGAATCTTTAAAGTCTCCACAATTTCATTTTTGATCCTACTGAGATCCTTAATGTGCTTCCATCTAGCTCAGCAGTTCAGTTCCCAGACCTGGTCCTGGTGCCCCAAACCCCTGCTGGCTCTTCATTCCAGCCCACCTTCATTAGGCAGCTGAAGCCTTACCTGATCCAAGAAGCTGCTTCATTGGAATATTTGCATTTTGCTTCTAATCATACGTTTGGAATTTTATTTCCCTTACAAAATGCTGTGGTTAAAGCTCCAACATGTTTAACAGCTGGGAACGGACAGGTCTGATGAATCTGACTGTTATTAACCCAATAGATTGTCTAAGTGAGGACACAGCTGGGTGTAAAAGCCACAGTGGTGTGGGTCACCAGGGTGAGGACTGGGCACCACTGATCTAGCTCCGTTCACAACCTTGATCCAGCGTCCTGGAGTCGTGCGTCGTGACAAAGAAAAGGGGAGCAATTTAAAACTAAAACGCTTGCCAGCAAAGGTGACTGACAGCAGTGTTTTTGAATTTGTCGACAGCTGGTGACTACACCGCGAGAGAGAAGTGCTGAGGAGAGGAATCTTCTGAGCTGGCAGGATGTTTGATTCACTGTCTGCTAACAGAGAAACCCACCAGGGTCAGCCAGCAGGGCCTGCTCGTGTTCTAACATCTTGTGGACTTCCTGCCTGCCTGGTCCCCTAAAGAGAAAATCTTCACCGCTCCAGGCTCCTCTTGTAACTGATATTTCAGCTTTAATGAAGGTTTAATGTCGTGAATTTCTTTGTTTCCTATCGTTTCAGTGCCCTTTCCTCAGCGGTTTTGTTTGCTTTCCTCCCACCACTTCTCTTTGTGCCATGGAGACATTACAGTGATTCTACAGGACACATGCCATCAGTAGTTGAAACGTTAGGAAGGGGGATTGCAGTCTATAGGCTTCTGTTGAAACCCATGTTGATACCCTGTCTTTCACAAGAGCTGCAGTTCTGGAAGAAGGCTCTCTTAAGACAAATCTGCGTTTTGACACCATAAAAAAGATGACGATTTTTTCATTTGACATTTGTTCCTACAGTATATGAATGGAGGCCAGATATGATGAGAGCTCAGAATGAGGCCAGGGTAAATACAGTAGCCACCATCGCTTCTGTTTCAACCGTTGAAAAAAATAATACAATAAATCAATACAATATAACGTTGGAGGTTTTTCCAAGATCACCAGGCTGCCATTGTGTAAGTTCTGGAACAGCCTGACAGATTTATTTTCTCCTTTTGTTTTTACTGTGATCCACTTTAGAAGCCTTTAGACAGTGAACCACCCAAGTTTCAACTGCAGTTGAAACAGTGTGCAGTTACAGGTGGAATATATTTTGCAATCTTTTGGCAAAGGACAATCACAATGTGTGTTACAGGAGAGTGTGTGAGTGAATATTGCCTGTGTTTCCATTATACTTTTAAATGCATGTGTTTGCATTTTGTTTAGTCATGCTCCTGTTATTTGTTTAAAGCGAAATGATTTACCCTCCCATCCTGCAGAATGTAGCCACAATGTTTCCTCATTTCTTATTTTTCAGTTTTTCTCTTCATAATCATGCGGAACATCAAAAATACTGTATATATGTTTATTACTTCTTAAATCCTGGATGTTTATACAATTTTATAATCTAATTGTACAATGCCAACGTACTAAATCTTTTGGAATCACTGTATTTTTATATGTTGTATAGTGATTAGCAGTAGCTTTTGGGATGTTCACTGGTCTTGGCTGAGCCCCAGTGCCTGCTGGTTTGCAGTCTGACAGAGCCCTGGGTTTTTAATGAGCATCATGGCCCGTCGATGGGGTGGGAGGGGCAGGCGGGCTTGTTCAGAGCTCAGGGTGAGCCCTCGCTAATGGCAGGCTGGAGTCTGGGCTGTGAGTGGGACCCCAGGAGGCGAGGCGCTCCGAGGGCAGTGTGGGGGTCTGAGTGGGCTGTTCTGTCACTCGGCAGTGGGGAGAGAGCGTTGGCGCTCCGGGGGTCCCGCCGGACCAACGGCCTGAGCACAGCAGCGCAGCACGCCACCCTCCTGCCAGAGCAGGCCGCGAGACTGGCCAGCGGTTTCAGACCAGCATGGGGGGCTATAACGAACAAGCTCTTTCAAATACTCCTGTAAGGAATCGGAAAGAAAAGAGCTGGATTTCCTCCACCTGAAGGAAGGTGTGAAGTGGGAAACAGGCTGGGTGAGTACTGGCAGGTGCTGGCATCCTCCAGGACCAAGACTGAAAAACTCGTAACACCTTTGAGAGACAATGTTTTCTTTTACCTTTGTTGTCATGTTTGTGTAGCACTGTTTGTTTTCACTTCTGGGTACATTTTACCCTGTTGATGTTTTTAATTGTTCGTCAGTTTCTTCCACGAGTAATCCTTGTCTTTTAACAAGGATTCATCTGGGAGTCTTTTATTAAAACACTCAGCGTGGAGAATCCTAGGAGCCAACGCAGTATTTCAGCCAGAAGAGAATGGTTAACCGGGTGAGGATGTACAGTAATTGAACAAAAACATCTGCACTCAGCTGCACTGTCTTTTTCCTAACGTAAATGACATAAGGCGCTGGCCTTTCACAGCTCTTGACCATCCTGAAGAGTCACTGCTGTGGTGAAACGTTGATTTATTGTGTTGTGGTAATTAAAAGAGAATCAAAAAACAAATTTCTATTGGCTTGGCATGCAGGTAATGGAGAACTAGTGTAGAGTTTCAAAACTCATTCTGGGACAATAAAAGGATTGAAAGGCCTTCAGTTCCAGTTCTCCACGTGCCTTCAGCTGTGGGATTTTGAAATGGCAGTGTCTGGACAGACGAAAGCGTGTCTTCACGAGTGAGGGTACAGGTTTTGTGCTCGGTAGGAGCAACAAAGATTGAACTCCTATCAGAATGACTGTGGCTTGTGAGAGTTACTTGTGTTGGGTTTTAATAATATCATTGCGGATACCAATCAATAATGAATTGTATATACCTGTGTAACATTTAGTGCCTGTTATTTGCACTCCAAAATAAAGACACCTATTTTTTAAGTGTTGGCAACTGTGTTTAAAAAAATACCATTTTATACTTGCCAGCAATTTTTTTTCTCAGGTTTTCAGGCCGCTGGGGAAAAGAAACAGCCCAAAGTTAACCTTGAGAGCTGGATGTGATGGTTCAGTGACTTTGTATGGCAGGGCTCTGATGGGAATGGCTGGTTCATTCTCCGATGCCACAGGTAGCTCTGTTGTGATCATCCCCCCTGTGCTCTGTGTTTCCTGATGGAGCGTATTACTCGATCAGTGTCCCACAATCTTTCAAAACTGAGTGTAAGACCCTCGGAAAACCTGCAGGAACATGCGGAGTGGTAGTACTGGCCTGTCGTCAGGTAACACTAATAAAGCAAGCGGAATGAAATTAGAATCTTTAACAGAATGGCGCATGTATTGATAAGCAATCATTACTGTTGTGATCATTTTCAAGATTAATGTGCTACTGAGCCATTTTTACTACCGTGATTTCTTTGGTTGGGGGAGGGCAGAGATTCTTTGTTCTGTTGCTTATTTTACCTAAAAACTAAAAATAAAGCACATTTACAGATACGTTTTATGACTCTTGAGTGTTTCTTGCCATCACGGCATTCTCATGCAGCTGTTTCAGTAGTGAGTTATAACCTTTCTCTGTATTGTGTGACTTGTAAAAAAGTAGCAGTGTGTAAAATGAACTGCCTTTAGATTATTGTAGGTCCAACCTAAAATCTCTGAGTCAAAATCGCCACACCTGCACAGGCTGAAAGGCCTCTTTTCATTTATAACTGCTGTTAGTTTCTTCCGAGTTACAGAGTGCACACCAGGTTACCCTGAAAGGTTAATTAATGTTCTGCAATTCATACTGATGCAATGCAAAATTCTTTACAGTGCTTCCTGACTATATACCTCACCACAACTACTCTCCCTTCCAGTCCACTCCAGTGGAGCAAATAGCTCGTCAGTTGAGTATCCGATAATTAACAAGGTCACTTTCATCACTAAGGTGCTGCTTGTACTCCTTAGAAAGAGGCAATGGGACCCACACAGACTGCAGGGTGAGCGCCCCCTACTGGCCCCACTAACACCTCTTCCAGCAGCAACCTTAGTTTTTCCCAGGAGGTCTCCCATTCAGGTACTGGCCAGGCTCACATCTGCTCAGCTTCAGGGGGTTGCAGGGTGATATAGCTGCTGCCAATGTACATAGCTGCTCAAGAGCCAGACCAGTCTACTTTATAAAGGCCTTCGACAGCAACGTGTGAATCGAAGTGAACATTTTGCAGTGTTTTTGTTTTTGTGGTTTCTTTTGCAGGGAACATCCTCATTTATTTTCGACAAGGGGGTTTCAGATCTGCTTGGACAGATGGCAGAGCTGTGAGAGAGTCATTTACAAAGCGAAGGAATGTATTGTCACCGATAGCATTAGGAGTGTGCTCCTTCATAAAAATTGAAGAATAGGCAACTATTTCAGACTGCCATTAGCTGACTTGTCACATCAAGTCTTCTCTTTTTTGGTGTTTTCTGAAATGAAATTCCGGTTTCGGTTCTTGATCGTGGTTGAGAATTGGACATGCTGAGATTGTCCCAGAGGGAAGTGTTGGTCTCCCAACCTTACCTACAGTTATGCAAAAACCTGTTCCTCTGCTGCTGTCACGATGCACAGTTCGCTATCACGCCCTGTTGTCCACATTGCAATACGACGGGTCTTGCGTGACCCGCTGTCGCGATACGGCGTTACTATCGTGACACTGACATTTATAGCACACTCCCGGTATCGCGACACGCCATTACTGTTGTGACTCCCTGTTTTAGTCCGCTTGATATCGTGACACCTATCGTGATATCGCAATCCGTCTCGCTGCATACTTGAGAAGGGAAAGAGCGAACTCCGTACAGCAACATGAATTATTAACTGATCGCCGATCGCACCTGTCACACTATTGTGAACACCAGGAAATAAAAGATTTTAGTTTTCTTCCGATTTCAGAGGGGTTTCTATCTTTTATTAAAATTACTTGCTTGACGAGCTCCTGCACCTTCCTGATGTATCAGTAGTTTTCGCTCTTTATGGTATTGTATTGCTTCAGAATAAACGGTTTTAAGACTAATATCATACTTAACAATAGACGGATTGAATTCTTGGGTGAGTGAACCGTCAGCTCCATTCAGCTGCTGGCTGTTACTGGGAAATAACCTTTCCCCTAAATACATGCACATACACGCATCATTTTCACCGTTCACGATTAAGAGGCTAGTTTATTCCTTGCTTTTTTTTTATAAGGATTTTGATCCCAAATACTCCTGCACACATTCTGTAATAAAATCCAGCTCGTCCATTGGCAGCAGCGTGTGCAGAATATTCCAATGGAACCTGCCGGGAGACACGAGAGAGATGAGCGCTTGACAGGGGAAAACTATCTTTTTTATGATCAGTATTTTTATTGAACCATCTATATGCAACTTAGGGCGCAACATCCAAACGTGAACATTAATTTAAAAAGCAAAACAGGTAACTCGCGGGCAAAATGTAAAACCACGACATGGATTTTATTGCTAGACTTTGTTTTTCAATACAGTAAAAACAATTTCAGCTGGGTTTTCAGACTTTGCACTATTTTCCATTAGAATAGATTCATTCGGGAGTTAAAAACCTTATTGACATTTAAAAAAATAACATTTTTAAATAGCTTACATTTTATATGAAAACAGGAATAAAACAAATTGATGTATTGTTGTTGTTGTTGTTGTTGTTGTTTTTAGATCACCCAGTTTTAAGACTGACGGGGTTTTGAAAGAAACACACCTATCTCTCTGGCAAAACCTGACAAACGTATCATTGATTTAAAGAAGATTTTCCTATACAGAACAGCATTCTTCCGGTCACATGAATTCTCTTTCTCATACAGTACAAGACCACAGCAACTCTCTGCGGTTCCTGTTTTGGCGCAGAGCTATTAGTCTTCTGAGCAACTTTAGCTGTCTGATTAGTCACCCTGTAAGTACCCAGTTGAGAATCTCCACACCGCCCGGGGAGCCCCGATCGTTCAAACGTGATCTCCATTCCTCGTGTACAGACAAGTTACCCCAGGGCCCATTTGGGAATGAAACAAGTCGGAGAACCTGCAGGTCTGGGGTCTCAGTCAGCACAGACTGGGGTGACTGGGAGGAAGGGGATGGGGACTCATGAGGGGAGCTTGTTTCGGAACACCTCAGGGCACCAGGGTGTAAATTAGATCATTTATGTGCCCCCCCTCACCCCCAGAATCCCTTGGGGTGGAATCTCAGCCCATGATTGTCACAGTGCTGGAACACTTAAATACGAAATAAAAATTATAGCATACTGGGTTATTTAAAAAAAACGATAAAAAATTATACAGTAGAATATTGAGCCATTTAGAATTGGAAAGAAAACAAATGCATTGTCACACATACTGCTGCTTCGTGATGTTTTATTACGCCATTGGGAATCTGTCTGGTTGGATCTGAAGTCATGTGACATTCAGTGGCGAAAGCCTGGTGGGTTTCTCTGAAATGAAATTCCTGTTTCAGTTCTCTCAGTTCGCCCTTCGCATCTGCTGAGATGGCAGGGAGAGCTGTGCTGGTCTGCGGCCCGCTGGGCTCTGGTATGACCCGGAAAGGTACGTACAAGAACCTTACCGATGGTACTGCAAAAAGGCTGTGTGGGAGTCGCAGAACTCATAAGAACAGCACTAAAGAAAACAACATCTATTTTGAGCATAGATGGGAAACCTGTCACATGCATTGTTGGTTTAAGAAATTGAAATATTTTCCCAGACGGAACAGCATAGTTCTCAGTTCTCATCCGTTCTCTTTCTTATCCCAGACTGTATAATGATTTACAGTGGAAACCCAACAAATCAAGCAGTCTGAGCAACTCTGCTTCACCAAAAATAACCAGGAGAAAAAGGTGTTACATTTCACTTTATAAGAAATCATCTTAATATGACAAAATATTTTAGGTGGCTAAAAGGATGTTCATTATTTTTCACTGTCAATCATCAGATGCCCAATACTGGGCTCCACAGTTAGCAAGTGCTCTTTCCTTATGAAATTATTGTGTTGGTGTTAGTGTAATTGTGCTGTGGTTTAATTGTTTTTTAAACCCATCTGCTTTTACACTGTAAGTCTGGCAGCTGTCTGCTAAGCAATTAAATAATAAACTATAAATTTGATGAAGACACAGGAAAGAAATTGGGATCAGATGAAGACCGTGGCTTATAATGGAAAAGCCAAGGCAATAAACCACAAAGGGCTATTGCCACAGTGACAACTTAAAAAAAATCTCCAAAATGTTTAAGATTGAAATATCTCTACAAAACTTCGCTGTCTATCTGAACTTCATCATATTATCGATGAAATCCAAGAACATGCTGTAAATGATACACAGAAGACAATAATCTAGTTCTTGTTTTTGCTGTAATTATTAGTAGGAGGAGCATCTGGAATGTTAGATGGGTCTATTGATTTGTAAAAACCGATCAGTTGTATTGAAGGGGTGGCTGTTTGTACGTTGGTGTTCCCTCTTTCTCGTCACCTTCCTGACTGCCCCTCTCTGTGCTGCAGATGGGATTTCATCACATGGTAAGTGTCGTTTAGCAACGTGTTGCTCTCATCATTACTGCCAGTAAGGAAGTACATTCCACATCCACGAAACAAAGGGTGAAGGAGGTCAAGAACGCACTTCTGTCAGTGTCTATTAATTGTATTTGGAATAGGTTTCAAGTCCAGAACTAAATCAGACTAGTACATTAGAGTTTTTACTGGCATTGCAGCTCATCCATAATCAATTCCTGTCATAACTATTTTTTAAAAAGTAAAACAAAAACTGGTATATGTGCTACAAGAAAATACTGCAATTCATCCCTTTAGAAAATGTTGTTTGTGCATGAAACTTTAGATGTACCTTTAGGCAGATGATATAAAAAAGAATCACTCTGCCTGCGCTGTCTGCGATGCTTGAGTCTTACCCGTCTGATCCACAGTCACCCAGAGGCCTCCATACACAGAGGCGAGGCCGGGGGAGTCTGTGAGCTTCTCCTGCTCTGTCTCAGTGCCGGGTCTAGACGGCCTGTATGTGAGAAGGAAGTTCACCCAGGAGGGTGAAGTGCTGTTTGTGAACAAAGACGGAACATTGACAGTACAGCCCGGGTACACTGACAGACTGATCACTACAGGAAAACTGGAGGATGTCAAAGTCACATTCAAAGCACTGACAGAGGGGGACTCTGGGGTGTATGTGTGTGAGTACATCGCTCTCGATATGGATACAGCTTCGATGAAGAAACATGAAACTTCTGGTACCCTGCTTCTGGTCCGAGGTATGTGTGTGTCAGCTCTGTTTTCAGCAGTAGTAAAGGCGAATGATGGCTTTGTTTCTGAGAACCAGGACTTGTGCTGGATGGAGCAAAAGCTCAAGTAAACATTTACTATTGAGAGGAGACCATTTGGCCCATGCAGCTCATTTCAGATTCCAGTAGCAAAGTTGAAAAAACACACTCCACAAAGTGAGAACAAAACCCTACAGCCTCAGATGAGAATAGATACTCCCAGACAGAATATCAGCGTGTTTTAAACTTAATATTTCTCTGCTATATCTGTGCTGTGAGGTGAGGAAAATGGTACCATATTTAATAAAAAATCAGGTATTGGCATTTACATGTGTGTATAAAATGCTGCTTTAGGGACTGGGCCTTCTCAGGTACCTGTTCACTCTGCCTGTACTGGGCCTGTGCTGAAGAGCTGTCTGTCTTGGCCAGGAGAGAGACTGCAGCAGCAGCAGCAGCCCTGCGACAAGGACGAGGCCCTGAAGTTGACCCCCACCCTGATGCTGATCACAGGGCTGTCCGTCAGCTCCGTGCTCCTGCTGTGTGTGATGGGCTTTATCATCTGGCAGTGGCCCAGGGTGAGTACCCCCCACACCGCCCGGGGGCCCTGAGGGGGCAGCAGAGAAGGTAGCGGGGCTGCTGTGTTCCCAGCCTTGGGAAATGTGTGACATCATCCTGACAGCGGCGTGACCCCTTTCCGCCCTGATCGGGGAATCTCAGCAGCGCTGGGCCCTGTCAGTACAGGGCCGGGAGATCTCAGCCAGGCCATTCATGGTGGTGCTCTTCCCTCTGTAGCACATGACTTCCCTTGAAGAGCAAGTGGTCATTAAAGACCCCGTGGCCCTCTTCACAAGACTGTAGTTATTAGCCCCAGTGTCCTGGCTAAATTCCACTCTGGGCTTGTGCACTCTGGCCTTTTTAAGTTTTCCCCTTAACTCCACTGCTGATTTTTCACAGCTGCTACACGCAGTATCTCCCAGGCTGGGGGCCGCACGGTGCTGGACGAAGTTTATCCTTTGATTTATGCTTCGTGATTCTTTGAGCCAAAAAAAGTTCTTAGTAAATAAACTAACGATGACAACAGAATTGTAGGTATAGAATCTCACAGTCTCTGTTGGCTGAGCTTTGAGATGACGCCTGCTACTGTGTATTTACAAGTGTAACGCGTGGTATATCTGGAGGACGGGGGGGTTGTGCTGGGGAGTCCCTGGATCCGTGATGCTCGTCTGATATAAAGGCCTGTCAGTGACGAGCTCAGAAAACAGCCAGGTCACATGGAGAAGGAATATCCCCACGGTGCTTACTGTTCTTTCCTGTTTTTCAGCTCCCTAACTCACGTGCCAGGAAGAGATCTCAGGTTCAAAGTGAGATGCGTGAGAAACTCTAGAATGAGGAGGGGTGACGAGCAGCAGGGGACAGGCACTCAGATCAGGCCACAGCTGGCCACCAAAACCTTCAGATTAAAATAAATCGACAGACTGTGATGTCATATTATAAGAAGAGGTGTTACCGATTTAAAAATGTTGAGTCACGGCCATCTGTTTTACATGTCTCTTAATACTAACATACTCATGTAATAATACTTTAATACATGACCATCCATAAAATGGGTGGTCATCAAATGTTCAATGGGCTTATACTGTACACTCCTTATTTAGTGATAGACAGCCAATCACCAAGAGTCCTGCTGACCCCTTGACCTCACCGAGACCACGTGTGAACAAGGGAGCAAGATGCAATCCACCAGATTTGAAATCTACCCCAATAAATGCCTTAAGAATCCTGCATAGTGACTTGTGCTGTGTAGTAGTAATATTCGGCTTTAAGACCTTATCAGCTGTGTAAGAGCTCTTTAAAAAGCGCCCAGGCTTCAGCAGGCTCGGATATGGCCAGGTAAACAGCAGTCCGGCTGTTATCTCCTTACCTGGGGAGCTGTCTCTCCAGCAGGTGTGAAGTCGACTCTGTTACGGCCAGGAAGTGGTAGAATAGAAAAGGCACGTTTGCCCGGAGACCGGTGATGCACAAGCACATTATTTTTGCATAGGAGCAGTGGGAACGCCCCCCCCAAAAAACTCGGCGGGTTCAAAGGTTAGCGTGCTTAAGAGGAACTTAAGAAAATCAATTTGTGTGTGTGTGTTACTGCCGTCTGTGGTGCCGTCTTGCGCCCTCTGCTTCTGTCACTCCGAGGTGCAGGGCGGATGGGAAAGTGGCTGGACAGAGTGAACAGATCGCACACAGCTATGTGAACGCTGATAATATGCACACCCCTGTCTTATCGACTGATTTCAATAATAATCTGAGTTTTGTTTAAGAAAGCCATATACCTACAGTCAATTCCGAGTGAGGCAAAAATGGCGTAAATTTAACAGAACGTATTTTACCTTCCCGACCTATAAAATCGACCGGGTTATAAACATCTGCTTCAGTGGTCACAATTTTCAAGGAAGACTGAAAACCCGGCTTTTGTACAGTAGATAGCTGTGAGCTGTGGTCTTCCGGCAATGCTGTACCAGTTCGGCGGTGACCAGTACGCAGGACTCTGGGACGCGGTGCGTGGAAGTGAGGAGGTTCACGCAGCGGTCCCGCAGGCCCCGCGTGGACAGAGACGGACCACATCTGCACGGAACCTCTTGAGCCCCCGCGCGCCTCGGCCAGATGTGCAGCCGGGGGACGTGCCAATCCGCCCGCGAGGGTGGCGGTGACGCGTGTTTTTGCTGTGCCCGTGGGTGCACTGCACTGTCCCGCCGGCCAGCTCGTTTCTTTCCACACATTCCGGCTGTTATTCCGACACTGTTGTTACTGGACCACAGCCACGGATACGAGAAGGGACACAAATAATCACTTTAAAAAATAAAGAGTTTTTAAATTATCTTTAAGGTACTCTTACAATTCCCAACACAACGTATTCTCTGTCCCCCTAAATCCCACAAATCCGTGTTTTCCCCCGAGAAACACAAGTGTAGAGTCCCATTGCAATAAAAAATACAACACATCTAATTAACAGCCAGATGTGACAGATCACATTTAAGACTTATACCTAATTTGAATACGTATTTACTTAATTTCAGTTCTCTTTAATCCCGAGGATATCTGAAATTCCCTCTCGCATACTAAAACCTCTAAGTGCATTAGATGTAGTAACAGCTACTAATAAATATAGACATTAAACTTCGTTATTAATACATTACACTTTTATTAATAAAACACGTATTAATAAACTTCACTATGAATAATTGTGGGGGAACTGTATAGCAATTTGTAGTTAAATATGACAATACTTTTCAAACGACGGATGAATTAATGCATTACTAAGTAACAATAGTAATACCACTATATTCAGGAACGTTATATAAAGTTATAGGAATCTCTAGAGGGCAGCAGCTGCTGCTTTGGGTTCGTTGCATTTGGTTTTAAGGTGGCAGACTGTTTTAGCACGGAGCTGCGTCCTGGCCACGGGTAGAATTCCAGTTAGTTCGCTGCTTTTCAGTTCTATGCAATTGACCCTGTAATGACTAATGTTAAGAAACAATAGGTTTTTTTCCATGCTGAAAAAAGAAGAAAGAAAACACAACGTTTCGGCCGTGGTGCGTTCTTCAAATGTTAAAACTGATGTTCATAAATTCCTCTTACACCTGAAGAAGGCTCCACGGCCGAAACGTTGTGTTTTCTTTCTTCTTTTTTTCAGCATGGAATAAACCTGTTACTTGTTCCTTTGCAGCCTACGCGTGCTGACGCAGCTACCCACCTGAATGACTAATATTATGCGATTTACGGTGAGTATAGGTTGTGCAGCAGACATTTCACTGCAGAATTGTTTCAACGTGAACTGCGTGCAAAGTAAACAAGTCGGATTTGTCGTCAAAGCCGTCTCGAACTCCAGAGCAATAAATCTACTGGATTTAAAAGAGAAGTTTTCCCGACCCTGCTTATTTGCCCGTGTAATAATGCTGCATTACGTCACCGGAAGTTTTGTTGTCTAGTTCTAAACCACAGAACGTGGCCCTGCACATGCCTGCGAATTTAATCTATTTTTTGATGTCAGTTGGAGGCTTTGCACGTTACTGTGTATTTTCATTGTGGTTTGAAATGCACATTTTTCGAAGCCCGGTTCTTTCTAACCCCAAAATATAAAAATAGCCGACAACTGCCACGCACTTAGTTATTTCCGAGTATGTGTCAATGATGATGCTCACATGAATAAAAATAATACATTTAATTTCTGTCCACAAGAGGGAAGTGTCGGTTTGTAGGTCTGACGAAAACGTTCTCGAATTATCGACTAATCCTATTCTCAGATTGGGATTCATGAAATATAAACTCTTTGAGACGCTGTCTAATATATCCAATACAAGTAATTTTTAAAAAAGGGGTGTTATTTATGACATTGCAACAATTTAAACGTGTTTAATATTTTAGAATTTACAAAATTACTCCAAGCGAATTTTAAAAATATTAAACACGTTTTCAAAGGACAATCTTTTCTTTCAGACTGAGTTTAAGGCATTTTAGTAACGCTTAGTACTCCCCGAAGCTAATCATCAGACATCTGAATAGGTGTGATTGCTCTCTACGAAGACTCATCAAGTCTAATAAAACGACGTTTTGGACACGTATTTATGAGGTTATTATTACAGTCCAACAAATTCTTGTGAAAACCGAGTTAGCGACTTCTGATTTCATAGCATTTTACACTGCATAAAAATAAGCATCCTGTAAAATCCCAAGTTTTTGTCTTTGGCGTCAAAGAAACTTTCCGTTCGAATAGAAACATTTTGGTGAAAAAAAATACAATAACGCCGGTAATAAACACACAGAAAAGTAGGAAAGAAAGTGGTCATTTACTTCCCCGAATGACATGGTCCGCTCTCCTTTAAAAAGGACTGCTCTTGCCGGCAAGCATGCACAAAAACGTCCGAGTGAAGATGATCATCCAGACTGACAGAAGCCAAACACGTCAGGGTGCCAACCTGAGGTCACAGACCTGGACAGAGAAAGATGAGAAAACCACTTGCGTACTATGTGACAAACCCCTGTCCTTCACCCCGAGTTTCAGAAGTTAGCAATGTCCCTGATGTTCCCAACTATCCCAGCATGCTCTCCTGGGGCTGACCTCTCCAGCCCCACTGCTGGTCTTCTCGGCATTACAATACACTTGTGTTTTCTTCAGTTGCAGGTTTTGGCCACAAGAGGGCAGTATGATCACGAAAATAGGGCCGTAGACCATACCTTTTCAGTCCATTGACAAAAAACATCACTATTTCACCTTTGATCAAACAGAAACATTCACTTAATGTTTTGTTTCAGTGCCCAAAGTTTAAAGAATTATGCAACCATGTCACAAATAAGCTCCTGTTTAGTGTTGCATTAAATTTAAAGGAAATTAATGTACCCGAAAGAGATACCCCAAAGGTGTTTGGATATTTTGATGTTCACATTTCTTACTTCTCTCAGGCAGAAAAGTGCTGTTTCTAAATTATTTGGTTTTTTTAAACCTATCCCGACTTTGAGCGCTTTCCTCACCAATTCTGTAAACCAACATTTAAATAAAAAAGGGTCATAGGCCTATACATACATTTAAAAAAAACATATTCGCACCCTGCTGTTTTTTTTTGGAGGGGGATAGAGTTGGCGAGCAAACTGACGCGACTCGAGTGTGGGTTATATTTCCTGGGCTTTGAACCGTGAAGCAGAAGGGTAACTGAAGAGTCAGCGAAGACACATCCGTCACACTGCAGGGATGGCCGTGCTTACAGCCTGGCGTATCCCGCTCCTCACCGCCTTCCTGATTCTACCTGTCTGGACTTTAGACCCAGCTATTTCATCAACTGGTAAGCTCCGTTTAATCCGCGCCACCTTCATTATCGCTTTTCCGGTTTATTGTTTAGTATAGTGTTTCTCGGACACACTCGCAAAACACTTCAAGATAATAATAATAATACAAGCTTTATTTTATATGGCACTTTTAAAGGTGGCTTCTCAAAGCTTTACAGAACGACAAAAACAACAATAACAAATACACAAGATATGCACAATGAGAATACACAACGAGAGGAGACAGCTGATGAAGGGGACTGAATACACAGCAGGAGCAGAAGGGTAAAGAACAGAACCAGTTAAATAAAGTAAAAAAGAACGTTTTGAGTCTAGGTGTGAGGGAGACTCTCTGATATCCTTAACACGTCCCTGTTCTTGAAAGTGTCCTCCCTGTGGAGAAATCGCTCAGTGTAAGAGAGTTACAAAATTGAAAGCCTGTCAGTAAATGCAGTGGTCAGTGTTAAGTGAGTTTGCTGTCAATAACAGGACCTCTATCTCTAACCTCAAGCCATTCCAAAGGCTGTGTTAGATACAGTGTAAAGGAATGAAGGGAAAGCTGAGACCAGGACTGAAGCCTCAGTGTAGGGTGAAGCACTGATGTAACACAGAGCTCTCTGTGGATCGTTCGTCTTTCACATTTCTATAAACGGTCTAGATTCGGGTGTCGTTTTTGATTTTGAAATTTTGGGTGTAGTTAGTGAACCACAGATCCCAAAATACAAACGAAAATGCAAATTCAATCTTAAAAAAGATTCAGATAAAATTCAAAAACTGCCAACGCCTGGGAAAAGGGCATTTACTGCAGACAACATTAGGATGTTACATGTAGATAACAAAGACTATCAATATACACTGGGCAAAAATGAACTTTAGGAACACAAGACAGAGTGCAGAGGACAGGAATGCAAACAGCCCATCTGACCTGCTTAGGAGGCTGTGGCGAATCCATCTAAAGATCTCAGCAACATGGCTCCCACAACCCTTAGTGTAACAAAGTGCCTCTTGTTCTCAATTTTAAATGAACATCCACTTGATGTTCGCAGGATAGATGAAATTCGTAGATCAATCAGCTACTAAATACCAAACAGGCTAGGTGGGTTTTTAGTCTCCTTTCACTTGTCACCTTACTTATGTCTCTTTTTGTAAATTCACAGCATTGTTGCAGTGATTGCAGTTCATTATTTTGCTTAGGATCTGTTTTCAACTCTCTGGTACCACTACATACGGCTCTGCCTCAATCTGAAGGTTTTTCTGTCTGATCCACAGCCACCCAGAGGCCTCCATACACAGAGGCGAGGCCGGGGGAGTCTGTGAGCTTCTCCTGCTCTGTCTCAGTGCTCGATCTAGACGGCCTGTATGTGAGAAGGAAGTTCACCCAGGAGGGTGAAGTGCTGTTTGTGAACAAAGACGGAATATTGACAGTAAAGCCCGGGTACACTGACAGACTGATCACTACAGGAAAGCTGGAGGATGTCAAAGTCACATTCAGAGCACTGACAGAGGGAGACTCTGGGGTGTATGTGTGTGAGTACTTCGCTCTTGATATGGGTACAGGTTCGATGAAGAAACATGAAGCTTCTGGTACCCTGCTTCTGGTCCGAGGTATGTGTGTGTCAGCTCTGTTTTCAGCAGTAGTAACGGCGAATAATGGCTTTGGTAGGACTGTTTTGCCCCGTGGTGTACTGGAGATAGCTAGATATTAGTTTTAATGATCTTGAAGAAATCAACATACCTGATGGCTTCACTAGCAGACACATGCTAGTAAAGATCAGTCTATTTCTTTTTAATATGGAGGTGAAAAAGGTGTGATTAAATTGTTATTGAAGTCGGTTCATAGCACTGGGGGAATTTCACACCCACAGACAACTTTACGCTTGACATTCAGATCTGAAATGCAGAAGAAAAGGCAGTCAGAAAACCAAGCCAAATAAGAAAAAAAGTGGATGTCTTGATATTAACAGTCTATTAAGTTAGATTGATCAGTCTCATATGCAAGAGTATGTTACAGGTCTCACCAATGATCCCGTTTTTATTCACCTGTACCTGATCTTTCTTACCTGGTCAGAGTTAGGACTCACTGGCACTTTAGTTCACCACAAAGGAAGAGTTTATCTCACTGATCAGTTCAACAGAGGAATAAGATTCAATATTTTAGCATGCTGCAAAAGGGTCAGATTATAGCTCATAAGCAAGATTGAACACTTATATATAATCTAGGGAGAAATAGCAACACCCCCAGTTTTGTCATATTCATTTCATGCATACATTCATACAGGATCCTTGTTACTGAGCCCAGCGAAATAAGGCCTAGCCAATCCTGGCTGCAGATTCATTGAGACCAGAAGTCATAGGTGATCCACTCGAACATGCTCCAAACTGCCATGTTGCCACCATGATTATCAGACATCTACTTGTGTCTGGGTAGTGGGGGCTGCCACACTTTCTGTCCACTAAACAAAAGTGAAAAGCACAGAAACATTTTCACTTCTGACATTATTGCATAATATGGTTATGACTATTCCCGTAGGCTGCTCTGTGCCCTCTCGGGCTGCTGTGCATGCAGCGTGCACCTGTTCACTCTGCCTGTACTGGGCCTGTGCTGAAGAGCTGTCTGTCTTGGCCAGGAGAGAGACTGCAGCAGCAGCAGCAGCCCTGCGACAAGGACGAGGCCCTGAAGTTGACCCCCACCCTGATGCTGATCACAGCGATGTCCGCCGGCTCCGTGCTCCTGCTGTGTGTGATGGGCTTCATCATCTGGCAGTGGCCCAGGGTGAGTACCCCCACACCGCCCGGGGGCCCCGGCAGTGAGGCTTAAATGTTGCCCTTGTCTTTTGCACAATTGGGCCTGGATGTTCAGAGAGCAGGTTTGCTGGGATCTGTTTGTTTAGCCTTTACCAAAAGTTCAGCTAAGATACAATAAAGTGACTTGCTTTAGCAGCTCCAGTCACTTACACTACATAACCAAAGACAGGACCAACACCCATAAGGAGGACACCACAGATCAATGCCCCCTTCTTATCAAAGGACAGGACTTGGAGCAGTTTGATTTATGCTATATATCAAAGGACAGAGCAAATAGCCATAACAAACCACAAAACTGTGAAACCAAACTTCTTTCTGAGCCCATGCCGTATATAAGGATTGAAAACTCTTTGCAGGGTGTCTTTTCTGCGAGTCAGACCCAGCATGCATTGCTGCCCTTATTGAGGCTCAATAAAACTGATTCTGCACAAGACTGTGCCCTCCTCCTCCTCTGATGAAGAATTTCCCACAACAACACACCCCTTATTACATCTTTAGATGTATCACCCTCACAAACATTCTCTCACGCGTTTCAGGTGCACTCAAGGTGCACGTGGAGGGGAGGGCTGTGTGGTGACACGCTTTGGCTGACAAGAGGCTGACCAGACATGTTGTTTTTTTTATGTGGGCCTTCAAGAAGGAGTCACGTACACCATGCATCATGAACTCCTCAGGCCCAGATTCATTTTTTCGGAGCTGGAAGGCTCTGGCTCTGCATGGTTTTGGTCCCGCCTCCTCTCTGAACAACCTAATTGAGCTTAAACAGGACCAGGGGGACGCTTTCTGAAGGTCTTCAGCTGTTGGCAATTTACAAAGATCTAGGAAAAAACAACTTTTAGGTTCTGTGCTCAAGGACCAAGGGGAAAGCTTGTGCACCTGTACTCTCTTCCCAGTGTCATCTAGTCCTGGTTCTGAAAGGCTACGGCCAGCTGTGTCTACAGGACGTCTCGGATTCCAGCATCCAAGGTTGTTAAATTAGTCCAGTTAAACCAACAATGGGCTGATGTGGCTGGTTAAGAGAGCTGACATGGACTGAAAACCTTCAGACACTGGCCCACCGGAGCCAGGATGGGACATCCAAGCTTTACGTTCTAACTGGTAAAGATAGATTAAAGACACGATGAATTTCTCTTAGGACAGCATGGTGCACAGTGGCTTGTACTGCTGCCTCATGGTCTATCAGCACTGGGGCCCTGGGTTCAATTCCAGACCTGGGGTGCTGTCTGCATGGCGTTTGTGTGTTCTCTCCACGTTGGCATGAGTTTTGGTCCTCTGTGCGGCTGCTCTGGTTGCCTACCACAGTCCATTGGGAAGATGAACATACAGGTTAATTATTAGGTTACTTTGGGGAAAATTGGCCCCGATATGAGACTGTGCACTGGCATAGACTGGCGTCCGGGTGTAACCTGCCTTGTGCCTGTTGCTTACTGGGATAGACTCTGTCTCCCTTTCGACCCTGTACTAGATAAAGCAGTTAGGAAGTGGGTGAACTGATAAATGGATGGATGGATTTCTCTTCAAATCACCACCATTAGACTTGACAACTTCTTCATATTCTTCAGCTCCCTATCAACAACAGAGCAGCTGGTCAGCTTTTTAATACAAATTTGTAAGACTGAACGAGAAGTTATCTTCTTTAATCTGGCGAAACAAACATTACATCAATTCTGGTAAAGCGCTCTTTGAAAATAGATAAGACAGCATATTCAGAGAAATGTGATGCAAAGCCTGATAAGGCAAAAAGCTTCCATTCTGCACAGATTGTAATGTCTGTGGGCACATTTGTGCAAGGAAGCAGATTTATGTCAACGCTGATAAAAAGTTCACTTCCGACGCTCAGACGAAAAGTATTTTCACATTATGTGTTTTGTGGGTAACAGCTGCAAAAATCAAAATAATTAATATTGTTTTGTTTTGTTTTTTCTTTCAGTTAAAGAAGTTCTTTGCGAAGCAGAGATCTCAGAGCCGACGACAAAATGATACAGTGTATGAGGACATGCGCAAGCATTAGAATGAGGGCAGTCTGGTTGTTGTTTTTCTTTCAAAAACAATACTTTTTGGTCAGCAGTGGTCCTTCTATTTATGTACAACATTTATAGGCTGTAATAACAAAAATGTTATTGTTTATAGAGTAATGGCTTAAGAATGCTAAAAGCATTCTATGTTAAAGTTACCTCAGTAGCATGAATTGCTCTGCAGTTTTTCCATTGTGTACCATAGGCAAACCTGTTCTCCTCTCGACTTGTTTCCTGACGCACAGATATAACAAGATCGTAGAAATTAATTCCAAGCACAATTTATCCTTGCCATTTTTTAAATGTGTGAATTTATCATTTTTGAATATTTCAAAAACAGCACACTGTTTATTTTTGTACGTACCAAGGGGGAGATGTGGTTTGTGATAAGGCTGGTGGAAATACATCTAAGACCGTAAGAGTCTTGTTTTAGTGTTATATGTATAGCTTCCTGCCCATTGAAAAGGGGTATCTTTATTTTGTGTATGTATGTAGACTGAGGCACCACGCTTCACAGCACTGACAGGACGCTGTGGTTTTAAAACTGGCAGGGTTCCAGTCTATCCTTGCTGCTCAGATTGTAAGGCTTGGCATATAGATCCTGTATATTTGCAGCTGTGAGGAATGTGTTTTATTGGTTAATGAGTTGTCGCTTAGCTCGCTCCTTCTGTGTCCAGTTCATCTGTAGCTCTGACCTGCTGGACGTAACTCCGGTCAAAACTAACACGGAACACGTGTGCCGGGAGACCCGGAGGTCACCCGGTGACCCACAAGGGGAATGAGGTTTAGTGAGTCTTTACAGCCTCGCGGGCAGCACGTCGAAAAGCAAAAGACAAATGCTTGTGAACGAGCCGGTGTCTTATGTACCTCCTGGCTACAGATCATGCCCACACCTCTGCAATGAGCCACAGAACATTACAATGAGTTGTCTGAAACAAGTCCCATCAGTTCTGCTTATCGCAGCACCTACCTCTTTCACTACCCCACTGACATGTCTGCTGGTAAGGAGGAGCAGCACTGGCTCAGTCCTTTGTAACATTTTTGATTACAATAAAAAGGTTTTCATTCGTGACTGTGACTTAAAAATAAACATTCTTCACATTTAAGGTTACATCACCAAGAGGGCTTTTGCTAAGTATTGCTCAGTTTTGTAAGCTAAATTAAATCTGTTTTAATACAAGTTTAATTGAAAAAAAATAATGTTTAATAAAAACAATGTTAAAAATGTTCACGTTTGGTGTTTTTTTTTCTGAGTCAGCGGGTTTAAACGTATATTTTCTTTGCAAGAAAACAGCTAAAAACTTGACAAGATAAAAATGTGGGAGCCACATCCTCCAGAAATGTACTTTTGTGATTCTCCCTCAGTTAAAAGTGATGACTGCTTATGTGGTAAATCTGGAAAATGTAAAGCCACTAACGTTTCCTTCCTTTCGCTGCTGAGTTGCCCTATCTTGTGGAAAAAAACTACTTTTTATCATTTTCTGAAGTGCTTTATAGGAAAATTTACGCATTTTGGTTCTTAAAATAATTCACTCGAACATTCTCACATTAGAAGTTAGCAATAGTTCTCTTCTAAAGACTCGTTTTTCTTTAACCAGGTTTTTCATCAGTACAATGAGCAGATCTTCGGGTTTCTGAACATAACTTACAGTAAACAGCAGTTTTCTACGTACATTTCACCTCTGAAGGTTTCTTTTGGAGACCTTTATGCGAAATGATGTCATTTTTCTCATTGTTTTTCATTTTTATTCTGTTTTACCGGAATGTATGTGGGATGAGTCAATTAAAGCTTGTTTTTTTTACACCTCCTTCTGAAGGTAAAGATCTCATTCGTACAAACAAAAATCACAGCTTAGACAGTACTGTGGGCAGCAGCCTTCTTGGTTTTACACAGTGGAAACTTTGAAGACAGTGAAAATAACCATCCCCAAAAATAAAGAAAAATAATGGAGAAAGTTCCGTTTCCTGGAGCGGGGGAGAAAGGGTTTAAATGTTTTTGATTAGGTCTTTGCTGAACGATCACTTACCAAAGTGGCATCGGTTACAATTACGTTGTTGCTTTTCGTCTCTTTTCAGCATGGAATAACCCTTTTACTTGATCGTATCCATACAGTTCTCTACCTCTGATTTATTTCCAAATTAATCTTCAATGATATACTCTTGTGGACGGCGGGTTGTGGCATAGTGTATCTTGTTGAGCTAGTTCACCGATTTATTTATTCTGTGTTTCCTGCATGGAAGACGCAATACACATCGAGAGCTACTTCTAATCGAATTTATTAAGGCCCGTAAACTAGTGTGCAGGGTATCGGCGAAACCGTGTGTCAGGTGTATGTGTACAAATATCTCAGAAATGTGAGATACATATTCTATAACCGGACCAGAAAAAGAAAGATCATTCTGCTCTCAGATGTCTGCAGCTTGGTGTATGTGGCTGGGGGTGTATTTTATTGTCCCCAAGGGAAATAGCAAGCAAGACCTGAGGGATCCAACGCAGATAAGCTTAGACAAGCAGTATGACTAGATTGGGTTGCTTGTTGTTTTTCTATTCAGGGGACATTGCATGAGTTTGCCGATCTGCACTCCGTGGGCTTTGCGGAGGTCTCAGGAGAAACAAGAGCGGACCAGGTTGCTTGAGCGAGAAATTGCGTAAACTTCCTGTGCGTGCAGCGATAAAGATTTAAAACCATACAGATGTCTGGACCCCCATTGCGAGGCTGAATCCCTTTAGAACGGCCAACTTGAACTTGAACTTGAACTTTATTGCCATATGTAACCGGTACTGGTACAATTGAATTCTTACTTACAGAAAGTCTCTCGATTGTAAAACAAGTGTAAAACACAAGACAAAAAGCAAACAGTGCATCAAGACAATATACAAACAAACAACAGACAATGTGCAAGTAAACATGTAGACAGTTTGAATGTAAACAATACAGATGTGTAAACAATGACTGGAGATGTGCAACAGATCAGAAATCATAAAGAGGTAGATGGTGATGGTGTAGGTGTGGTCCGAGAGGGATGGCTAAATGTGTTCGCCAGTCTCACTGCTTGTGGATAGAAGCTATTGAGGAATCTAGTGGTCATTTATGAGAGGCTTGAGAAGTGCCAAGTGCGCTTCTCAAGGCTAAAAGCACATGTGAAGGGCAGATGACACAGGGAGGAGGGGTGCTGTAACCACACCCAGGCTCTTGCCTGGCCACCCGCCAAACCTGTAGTGTTTCAGCGGTTGCAAAGGAACAAGTAATAGGTTTATTCCATGCTGAAAAAAAGAAGAAAGAGAACACAACGTTTCGGCCGTGGAGCCTTCTTCAGGTGTCACCGCTGTGTTTCAGCGGTGTTCACTCTGCTTTAACCACAGTAAATCACTCTGCACTTCATTAGCCAGAGATCCCCAATCCTGATCATGGAGGGCCAGTGTGTCTGCTGGGCTCTTCACCACCTCTGCCAGCTCACTGACACTGTTTAATAAGGAAGTTGTTCACTGCGGCCGGGGAGGGACAGCAACATGACAACATGAACACCATCATCACCAAACAGGCTACATGACCTGAGCTCAAAGGCCTCCTTTCACGCTCACCTCACCCTGCCCCTGGGTCCACTCCTCTCTGACTGGGGTTCGAGGCTCCTCGCCCTGTGGCCAGGAGGCTGCCCGTTAACCAAGAGGGTTGAGCCCCACTTTTCTCCCCAGGTATGTATTCCAAGCATTCACAAAGCGTTCAGCCCTTGGGCGTTGCTGTCCTCAGTGAACTGATGTTAATGACCAGAGCAGGTGAGAGGGGGTGTCCAGATGAAGGGAGAGAAGAGTGGAAATCTGAAACCTGCAAAGGAATGAGGGGCTTGTAAAAAAATCGCTCTGTTGTTGAGAGCAAGGGGGAAGGTGTGATCCAAGTTTCAGGGTAATCTTGGCTCCTGATATCTTTCTGAAGAGCTTTGGGGATGTCTTTCAGGGTCTTTGCAGTTTGGCCAATGTCAATGATAAAATGTCACCTGGATACATACACGCGCTGCTCTCTGCTCTTGAAATGGCCAGGGGGGTCTGTGCATATGTGGGAGAACCCTGCAGCTTCTGTGGCCTGCTGTGGATGGTGACTATGGGCAGTAAAGGGAACATACTATTTCTGGACTTGTTTTGTGGGGTTCCCCTCATTTTTCCTATAATTCCAACATGCTTGCTCAGTTTTTATTTTACCACAGTGGGCTTCAAGGAAGTGATAGGGTGCTACAGCAGATGTTTCGTATACCAGCTAATGCAACATGCTGATTTTATCATCATGGTATTCCTGAGGTCCAGTAAAAAACAGTGGGGTCATGTTAAGGTCATGGCAGGGGTCATCGGCCTTGTAAAAGTGTACAGACTCACAGCCAGCTCCACGTGGACAGCGTTCCCTTAGGGCCGGCCCGAGGAGCTTGCACAGCTCATCTGTTTGGCTGGGAGGTTTTAATGCACTCTTGAAACCTGCTGTATTGTTTATTGTGGTTTTTGAAGAACCTCAAAGTTAGCAAGTTTGCTTCTCAAGACACGAACGCTGCTGGGGGCTGAGGAGGAAACGGAAGTCATTTTAAAAGGTCAAGACTGTTCCGTGCTGCTGACACAAAGGTTGTGTCTGCTGCTGAGCCTGAAAAGAGCATAATGGTTAGGAATGAGAGGAGTAGGAGGACGAACGATGGCCCACCTCACTCGTAGTAAATAGTTGGGAGTTAGTAGCTCATCAATCCAAGGATCCTGTCCTTGAAGAAAGCCTCCCACACTCCCACAACTCTTTGTGTAAAGTAGTGCCTGCTGTTCTCGGTTTTTAAAGCACTAGTTTCTTACTACTTGTGTCCTCTAGTTTGAGTTTCGATGTTGTTGACGTCCATGTACAGTAGTTGACGGTTTCAGGGCTTTTAAGGATTCTGAGCACTTGAATCAGGTTCCTCAGTAGTCTTTGCTCTTGGCAGTGCTGTGTCACCGTACTGTTCCCAGTGTAGACACAGCACCTGGAGTGAGTCACTGTAATACAATGAGATATTCTGAACATTTAAAATAGGATCAATAATCACTAAAGCTTCTGGATCATTTGTACCTTTTTCAGCCCCGTCTTGTATTTTGTATGTGCAGAACCGTGGAAACCATTCACAAAAAGGCTTTACACCTTGATGTGGGACAAAACCTGGTTTCAGATTGTCACAAATTATCAATCATCCTCTAGTTTTCACACTTTTGGAAGAGCAAAAAAACAACATCTTGGGATTTTGGTCTAATGTCGCAAATCCACACTGAACAGAATGTCAAGCAAACCAGGGCAGTAAATGTTTACAGATTGAACACATCTGTGGTTTTTTAAAAAAGCACAGTTCCTTCCTTTTTTGGCTTTTTACTGTATGTTTGTACTGCTCAGTCAGACGGTGGTTTTAATGTTTCCCATGTAGTGTCGGGAAGGCACTGTGGCACCTATATCAAAATCCTAGTCAGATACAGCCTTGAAGGCACATTTCAAATCTAGGGATGTATCTCCCATCCATAATAATGGTGTCACGATTGTAGTCCCTCCCCCTTAAGGGCGCTCCAGCTCGTTCACTTTTGAGTTGATTTTGTGCACCTGCTCCCTGTTCCTGCCTCCCTACAAAAGCCAGACGCTCACACTGTTCTGGGCTCTGCATTGGTTTCCCGGCCGAGTCCGGGACCTGGAGCGCCTGGTTCTGTTCCCCCCCGACCCCTCACCGGATCCCGCTCCGGCTTTTAACTTCGTCTTGTTTGCCTTTGATCACTCGGCTCTGGACATCTGCCTCCCCATGGATTTCCCTTTGGACTCCCTTTGGACTGTTCGCCCTGGACCCCCCCCCGTTCCTCCTCCAGCCCAGTTCCTTGTCTCCCCCCTGTGTGTGTTCACTCCCTTCCGGATTGTGTCGTCTGCACAGGGTCCTGAAAGACACTTCGTGACAAATGGCTTTAGACACCCGTAACAATTGCTACTGTCTATAAATTAAGTTTTATCTCCATTTAAATATTTACATAATTTCTAAATATTCACTGAAATAATATAATTGTGAAACAGTAGTTTTGTGTTGTTTCA